CTAAGAAAATGGTCCATATCCTTGCTGACAGGCCAATCTTAGAGATATTTTATCAAGATTTCCCTCTTCCCTCTTCCTAGATAAGTCTAGGTTTGTGTTAAGTTGACTGAAAGCTAGCTGGAACACATATAGTACAAAACAGATGCACCTATTTCTGTTGAGTGACTACTTGACATCCCATTTTTGTTACACTGTCCCTAAAGAAGGCATACTGATTTATGTTCCCACCAATCCAGCTCGGAAGCATCTGTTTCCCCATACTTAATATCATGTTGTTAAATGTCAGTTTACTAAATGATCTGGTAGTACTGGGTAACTTTTATACTTTATATAAACATGCATAATAAGCAAAAACTATTGTTTTTGTGTATATTTTTGAGGTTTTTTGTTTTTCAGGACAGGTGTTTTATAGACCAGGCTAGCCTTGATATGCCTGTCTCTGTGGTGATACCTTGTTTGTACAAATAAAGCCTGTCTGAAGGTGAGAGAATGGAGCTTGCCACTAGCTAGCCATAGAGGTCTGGAGGTCTGTACAGACAGACAGGAAGTGAGGTAGCTGGGCAGAAACAGGATATAAGCAGGGAGAAACAGGAATGTGGAGGAGGTAAGGTGTGGCCGTGGCTTGCTCCTTCTCTTTGATCTCAACATTCTCGTCTGTATCTGACTCTGGGTTTTTATTATCTAGACCAATTAAGAACTCCATTTACATACCTCTGCCTCCTGAGTGATGGGATTAAGGGTGTTTTCAGGTTTTATGTAACAAAAAAAAGTACTGTTTTCCCTGTCCTTCCCTGTATTCTTTTTTGTTTTGTTTTGTTTTTGTTTTTTGAGACAGGGTTTCTCTGTGGCTTTGGAGGCTGTCCTGGAACTATCTCTAGTGATCAGGCTGGTCTCAAAATCACAGAGATCCGCCTAGCTGGGCAGTGGTGGCACATGCCTTTAATCCCAGCTCCCGGGAGGCAGAGCCAGGCGGATCTCCGTAAATTCGAGGCCAGCCTGGTCTCCATAGTGAGTTCCAGGACAGCCTCCAAAGCCACGGGAAAACCTTGTCTTGTAAAACTAAAAAAGAAAAAAAAAAAAAAAAAAAGAAACAGAGATCCGCTTACCACTGCCTCCCTCCCAAGTGCTGGGATTAAAGGTGTGTGCCGCCACCACCGCCCGGCCCTTCCCTATATTCTTACTCTACTTATTTTTCAACCAACAGGCCCTTTGAAAATGATATTTAATTTTGTTGCAGTTATCTTACTGTATTTAAATGTACTTTATGATACAAATTACTTTTTGCATGTATATCTACACATTTGTGTATGTGTGTGTGTGTGTGTGTGTGTGTGTGTATATATATATATATGAATGAAAAGGCTATGCCTTTCCATAACGACTGCTTTGAAGTATTTCTGGCTGAGTTCTCTGCCTTACAGGAGAGATCTATTTAGGAAATGGTGTAGAGACCATATGTAAAATGGAGAATAATTCTGGTTATTTGTGGTATTGGCTATAGTTTCCTATTGCTCTTCTCTCCCTAATAGAAAATGTTGGGGTTCTATAGAATTATGCTCTGGGGTGTTTGCTTCAACTTTCTGTATTGGCTCCAAATGAGCAGATGGCTTTAGGTGTCATTATACACCAGTGACTTCCAAATAGCTAGCCAGTACATCTGCTGTGAGCCCCACTTAGCCCAACGTAAGATTATACATATAACTGTGTCTTCAGCCTGTGTTTTATTCAGTAATAATAATATTTTGATTTCTACTTAAGTCTCATTGAGTTTGAGAACATACTGCATATTCTTTCCACTTGGCAGACTTTTTTACAGTGCATTTTAAAAGCCAGAATGTAGCTTCTGTTTGTGACTATACTGTGCAAGTTCGAGGAGAAGTATTGTGGATGTTAGAGGGACTATCATGAATACCATTTCTATCAAGCTGCTTGTGCTGGTTAGCGTACTAGTTCCTTGCTAGTTTGTGCCTGCTCTAAGGTATTGAAAGACCCTTCAGTCTTTCTCTCAGGACTCTCGCCCCCAAAGACCACCAAGCAGCTGAAGTTTGTTGCAAAACACAAGAGGATTTTTATTAAGCCGGCATGCCGGGGTTCAGCAGCCTTGGGAAGGAGTGAACCCCGAGCAGAAATTAGAGCAAGTTTTTAAAGCCTAAAACTGCAAATGGGGTTGTGGGGGTACAAGGGGAGTTTGGAAGTTGGTGCCAGACTTTCATGAATCACGTACGCTTGTGACTGTCTGGCTGACTGGCTCATTATCTGTCTCAGGCAATGTTTGTGCCCTGGCTGAACTTTGTGACCAGCCTGGAAGGCACCTTGAGGTCTGGGGAATGTTCCCAAGTCCTTGACCACCAGGGGAAGATGTTTAAGTGTAGCTGCTCATGTCCAAGGATGGGACAGCTTAGTAATTTTCCAACTATTGGGGGGCTAACTGTTGGGGCTCTTCAGTATTTACATCTCCAACAATAGCTGTGGATTTATCACTCCCTCTAGTTCTGTCTGGGGTTGCCTTTGTTTGCCTGATTGGTTTTGGTCCTAGTGATGGAACCTAGGGTTTTGCACATGCTAACTAATAACTGAGCTACATCCTCTAACCCCAAATGCATAATGGATTTTGCTCCTTGTTGTTTGGCGCATACGGATTTAGGATTATTACATCTTAATTTTGAGAATTGTCATTATGCAGTGCCTCTTTACAGGGCCTAATAGTTTTCTTGTTTTGAAGTTTATTTTGTTGTTATTATATTAATCCTATGGATTGAGAATAAGACCACTACCACAGTTTAAAACAAATTTGAAGCAAGCTTTAATTAAGTACTAGCCAGGTTGATGGGCTCTGGACAGCTCTATACCCAGGTCCCTGAGAAATGGCCCTGAGCTATTTCTTAAGCCAAGGGTTTAAGAAGGAAAACCACCTAATTTATTGCATTTCCCATCAGGGACAAGCATACATCCTGACTTATTTCCTGCCTGTGAACCTGCCCGCATATGATCGAGCACATCTGGTGCAGATGGGCCAAACAAACTTGTTTAGAGGAGTGAAAAACATGTGACTTGTTATCGTCTATAAACAAGAGCCTCCAGCACTTCAGGAGCTATATCCTTGAGCAAGTTCAGAGACATTTTTGTTTCATGGATCCCTTAGTTAGCATAGTAATTAGAATTTAAAAGGGCTCTGGGCAGTGGTGGCACATCCCTTTAATCCCAGTACTTGAGAGGCAGAGACAGGTGGAAATTAAAGGCCACCACAGTCTACAGAGAGAGTTCTAGACAGGCTCCAAAGCTACAGGGAAACCCTGTCTCAAAAAACAAGCAAAAAACTATTACTATTTTTGTTTTGTTTTATCTTTATGCACAAGAGACATCTTTCTTCATCTTTTGGTGTCTTTATAAATGAAATATGTTGAGTCTTGTTTTACCTAATAATCTTTGTATTTTCATTGGGGTATGCAAATCGTTCATATTTATGTGATTATTAATAACTTATGTCACCCTTTTGTGTAACTTCTGTGTTAATTGCCAGAGGTTTTTTTTGTTTCTGGTTTTAGTGGAAGTACTTATGTGGTTTCTTTTAAAATATATTTATTTTAAAAATGCTTTCAGTTGTTGCCTTAGTGCTTACAATTTACATTTTAATATATTTAAGACCACCTACAAATGATACATATTAGTGAACTGCACATTATAAAAATATTTTTAATTGCATTTACTAGCATTGTAGTTTGTTTCCCCTGTTGTGTCATCCCTGCCTTATCTGATTCCACACAACTGTACTCAAAAAGCAATTTTCTACCCATTTCCCTTTCACTTTATTCCTTGGAAACCATAAGTTTGAAGAAAAATACAAGATGTGTATTGTGCTCAGCTCTTTCACTAATCTGTAATAAATTTCCATCGCCTCTGAATGGGCAGAAGGTGACAGAGAATAGAATCTCTCTTCAGTCCTCTCTACCCCAGCTCTCTCTTATGAGAACATGGCCATTTGTTTCAATCAGGTACATTTGGGCTTACCTCTTAGTATTAGCTTCCAAAGATGGCAGTACAAGCTTTTCCAAACTTTGACTTAACAGAAACAAGGACTGCCACAGTTCTGGAGTCCAAGCGTGTGAATAAAATTGGGGTGCTTCAGGGTCTAAGGAAGCCCCTTAGGTTTGTAGCTGTTTCTCTCCAAGCTTGCTTCTGTTGTCTCATGGTCTTTTGTGAACTCTAGGCAAGGATGGGTGTGAATTTGTGCAACACACCAAGCTCAAAGTTATGTTTTGTGTTTACTTAATGTCTCTCATAGAGGAAATGGTACATAAAAGGTAAGTGTGGTGTCACATATCTGTAATCCCAGTCCTCTAGAATCTGAGGGATAAGAATTATGAGTTCAAGGTAGAAGAGGCTCTGGGTCTTAAAGGAATTAAGATGAGGCCTTCCTTCTCCTGAGTCCGTGCATTAAACCATCTTTTATTATCTTCTCTCCATATACCAGGCCTCTTCTGGCCCTGACCACACATCAGTAAAGTTAGATGTGGCCTCTAAGAGATCTCAGAGTTAGAAAATGGAGTAGACTGGTGATGAGTCTCCATGGTAAGCCAAGTGAATTCTGTCACCCAACACAAGGTTCCTTAACAGGACCTTTCCTTTAGAAGTATTACTTCTTTAAAGCACCCATCTCCAGATTTTTGAAGAGTTAAGGCTGCCTCTCTTTTGACTGACAGAGTATGATTTCCTTCCTTCCTTCCTTCCTTCCTTCCTTCCTTCCTTCCTTCCTTCCTTCCTTCCTTCCTTCCTTCCTTCCTTCCTTGCTCCCTCCCTCCCCCCTCTGTCTCTGTCTCTTTCTCTCTGTCTCTTGCTTAAGTATATCTATTATGATTGTCTTCACAAAGGGACTTTTAATCCTAGAATGAAACTTAATTTATGAAAAAATTCTGAAAAGGTCACTATGTATTTACCCTACTTCACCATGAAACTTGTGTGTTACTTTTTTCATTGTTTTGACAAATGGCAGACAAAGTAAATTTACAAAAAGAAGGGCTTTTATTTTGGTTCAGATTTAGGGTACACAGTCATCATAGTAGAAAAGTTACGAAAGCAAAATTGTAAGATAGCTGGTCACATGGCATCCATAGTCAGAAGCAGAACAGACTGATTCCTGGTACTCAGCTCATTTTCTTTTTATTTTATTCAGTCCAGGGTTCCAGTTCATGGAATAGCACCACTTACTTCAGGGGATCAGTCTTCCCTTCATGGTCAAATCTTTCTGGAAAGACTCCCATAGACACACGTAGCAGTGTGTTTCCATAGTGATTCTAACTCCAGTCAGGTTGACAGTGAAGATTAGCCATCACAACTGGTAAACCATCTTAAACCAGCATTGATTATAGTGATCACCTCCTGCAAGTAAGTGTAAGTGCACAGATCTAAAGACGTGCCATGCAAAGGGGCTTCCGTTGTGTTGTGTATCTTCTAGATTGTAACAGACCAGCAGACAGGACAGAAGATCCAGATAGTCACCGCAGTGGACGCCTCCGGATCTTCCAAACAGCAGTTCATCCTGACCAGCCCAGATGGAGCTGGAACTGGGAAGGTGATCCTGGCGTCTCCAGAGACATCCAGTGCCAAGCAGCTCATATTCACCACCTCAGACAACCTTGTCCCTGGCAGGATCCAGGTAAGGCCTATTGATAGTTGGTTGTTTCCATACTTGATACTTGAACTTCTCAGCTTGGTTTTGCCCTGTCTTGGAGGCAATATCCACCCCTCTGAGGGTCTTTAAAGATTTACAAGCATGGTGAGATTGCTGCCTTAGATGACTAAAGTAGAAACCAGTAAATTGAGTGGCCACAGCAAGAACAGTAAGCCAAGGAAAAGACACTGGAATAGGCAAGGTGATAGTGAGGATCAGTGGAGATTTATACTTAAAAGATCACATGGTGAGCCGGGCATTGGTGGTGCACGCCTTTAATCCCAGCACTCGGGAGGCAGAGGCAGGCGGATCTCTGTGAGTTCAAGACCAGCTTGGTCTGCAGAGCGAGTTCCAGGACAGCCTCCAAAACAATACAGAGAAGCCCTGTCTCAAAAAACCAAAAAAAAAAAAAAAATCACATGGTGGAAAACATTAGCCTATGGTATCTTTAAGGCACCCTCTAGAACTGACCACTATCAGCAAGAACACCTGCTGTTTCTCCCGATACAGGTTTTTACTCTGATTAAGTAAGCCAGATCAAGCCAAATTGAAAAAAATATAATAACAGGTTTATTTGAGCAAAGCAACTCCCAGGTGAGTTCTGCAGTCCCAGAGATCAAGGCTGGAGAAGCATCATCCACAAATGAAAGCAGGGAGACTTTATAGGTTGTAGGCAAGGGGTGATGACCTGTCTACCACACAAGCTGGGTTTGTGCCCAAGTATGGTCAAAAGCTGAATGTTCGGGCAGGAACTTGGACTGCTGGCAGCAAAAGGGGGAGGAAGTTGAAGTAGTGGCCAAGAATGCAGAATTGGTTTTTTTGGAGACTTTCTGGGAGGGTGAGGTTTGGAGAGAGAGACAGGAATGGGGCTTTCCTGCTCGTGCAGAAGTGAGGTGGAGATTCCACCTGAATACTTAACTTCTGTCTCATGTAGGTGACCAAAGCCTGGCTTGAGCTCTTCATTCTATTTGTTTAAATTTTTTATGTGTTTTTGTATTTATGGAGCTAGCAAACATTGTCTTTCTCATCCTCCCTCTCCTAAAGTGTGTTTTGATCCTTTGGTATTAAACTATCCAACTTGTTAAAAGCACTAGTTTGTGAAAGACTGACTGTTTATGTCACATTTCACAGGTGATTTTTGCCTGATTTCTCAATATGGTCCCACCATATGAAATTCATTTGAAGGTTTATTGTGTGTTCAAATTAAATACATTTTAAAAATAACTGTTCTTTAAACTTTCTCAGGTTGCTATCACTTATTTTTTTCCTCCTAGATGGATAGCATTGTTTACCTACAAGTGATAGGAAATAGCAGGCTTCTGCTGTCAGCTGTACTAGTTCTTCCATCACCAGGTGCCTCAACAACAGATCTAGTCAGGAAAGCCTGGATAGAGCTCTGACAAACACCAGGTTGCACATTTCCATATTGTTTGATAGGATGAGAAATGTAGCTGAAGAACTTAACCTGTCTTTACCTTAGAGAACTCATATGTGATCCCCATGTTGCTTCCAGTCTTAGTGATGCTTACAGGATAGGAGAACAGTCACTGACATGTGAAGGCCAGTGGAGAAGCCGAATTACCTGAATGAAGCTGTCAGAGTGTAATCCCAGTTCTGCCCAGAGTGTTCTTTTGTTTAGATACCCAAGACTGAGAATGTACAACTAGATGTTACTGTGCTTATTATTTATATGTTAATCAGTGGTGTTCGTTTGCTGACATTTTAGATCGTCACGGATTCTGCTTCTGTGGAGCGTTTGCTGGGGAAGGCAGACGTCCAGCGGCCCCAGGTGGTGGAGTACTGTGTGGTCTGTGGTGACAAAGCCTCTGGTATGTGACTCCAGCTTCTGATGCATATCATGGAGCAACAGCATGACCTTTTATAGGTTAGGGAAGTTGGTAGTTGAGAAAAAAGAATGGAACCTCACATGATAAAGTAGTTTGTCAGAGTTTTCAAACTGACAGGAAAAGTCAAGAAACTCTGTGATTTGTTTCCAAGTATTTATATGCTATTAAGAAAGTAAAACTTTATTTTATCTTGTTTGTGTCTTCCAAGGTGTATTATGTGTATAATTCCCCTCATCCAGACTATCTCACTTTTTTCATTTCACTGTACCCTGTGTGTAAGCTTAGTGGAACCATGTAGTCCCCCTTGGGAAGGGTTCACATGTGGGTGTATCCTGAGTAAAGACCCAATGCTCTGTGTGTGTGTGTTAATTGGGGAGCTACAGGCAGTAAGAAATGAGAAGCTCAGCTCAGGGAATCTGAGTTCTGAGGCAGCTTTGTTCCACCACTGGAAGTCTTGATGTTTTATTTTCCTGAATTTCATTTTGTCTTAAGCTTCAAATTTCTCCTCTAACATGGTTGTCCCATTTCTCTGCCACTGGTGCCTGCCTCTGATTCTACCCTTTGTTTGTCTTGGTAAAGCCAGTCCATCCTACCACTTGGAAACCCTGTCTTCCCTTGGAAACAGGTAGACAGTGCTGCCACTGGTCCTGCTTGCCTTTCTCCAGTCTATCCTAAGCATCTGCTATACTCTCCAAAAATGATATTTTCTCATTGCAGTGTTTGAGTGCTATGCTTGTTCAGCAAGGAGACACACTTTGCAAATCTGGAATACATGAAGCAGGAACAGAAATGGCTAAAGAGTGCCTGTTTTTCCTGTTGATCAGGGCTCTTCTGAGCTTCAAGGAAAAGCCTCATCACAGATAGTCTTAGCTGTAAGCTTCTGTCAATATACAATAGCTTTGTCAGCTAGGAAGAGTGAGCTGAGGTGTCATGTGAGCAGTGTTGCCTGAGCTGCTGTTTGTGCTGGGATGTTTGTGTGCCAAGGGCAGTCATATCATGTATGAACTTTGGAGTTCCACTGTGACCTTACAAGGTTATTGTAGAAATTTGGACACATGAGCTAGACATTGTTGGGCTACTACCCTTGCAGTGGCAGCTTCTGATAAGGGTGCACTCCAAATGGGAATAGGGCTGGGCAGGTCACCTCTGCTTGTGATGAACCAGATCATGTGCCCACTCACTTCCCTTCAGGCCGTCACTATGGGGCTGTCAGTTGTGAAGGCTGCAAAGGTTTCTTCAAAAGGAGCGTGAGGAAGAATCTGACCTATAGCTGCCGGAGCAGCCAAGACTGCATCATCAACAAGCATCACAGAAATCGCTGCCAGTTCTGCAGGCTGAAGAAGTGCCTGGAAATGGGCATGAAAATGGAATGTGAGTAGCAGGACCATGCCATGTTAGCAAATGCCTGCTAATCAAGGTGTTTACATTTGACTTTAAATGAAAGGGGAAAATACTCACGCAAGCTTCACTATGCTTTGCCTTCTGGGACAGCCAGGTGATCCAGAGCTGATGCTGCTGGGCTTGGTCAGTCTCCATGGTATGTATGGAAGCCCCTTATCTAGGTAAATCAGAAAACAGGGCAAGAGGAACTGAGGGTGGGTAACACTAGCTTTAGAGTAAAGCTGAGACCAAGTCATTCCAGCTCTGCTACCAAAGAGCTACCAGGAACATGGTGCTTCTCTGTTGTTGAATGTTTTACTCTGTCCTGTTTGGCTCCCCTGGACCAGCTTCTCTCCCGCTCATAGGTCCCGCAGCCACTTATGAAATAATCACTCAGAGGCTAATAGTTAGATATAATTGTTTGGCCAATGACTCAGACTTATATTGGCTAGCTCTCTTACAAATTATTAATCAATTTTTAATAATCTGTGTATCAACACGTGGCTGTAGCTTATCGGTAATGTTCTGAAATCTATACCACTTGGTGGCTACATGGTGTCTCCCTGACTGCACCTTCTTTCTCTCAGTAACTGTTTAACTTTCGCACCTACCTATATTTTGCCTGGCCATTGGTCAAACAGCTGTATTCATCAACCAATAAAAGCAACATTCACAGCGTACAGAAAGACATTCCATATCACTTCTCAATTCTGGGCCTCATCTGTGACCCTACACTTCCTTCTTTTGCTACAGCCTTCGAATTCTAAAGAAGGTCCCCAAGTGGGAGTAGCCACAGAAGGAATGAAACCCTCCTCTCAGTTCCTGTAGCCATACATTTGAGGGTTCAGGTATTATCCCGCATCCACAAGAACCAGTCATTGAGTCAGTTCTTAATGGTGGAATCGTAAGAACCAGGTCCCAAAGTAGGCAACAAAAAGAAGTCAAAGATAGCAGTGCTGTGTTCTTAAGAATACAGTAGGGCTGGGCAGTGGTGGCGCATGCCTTTAATCCCAGCACTTGGGAGATAGGCAGGTGGATCCCAGTGAGTTTGAGGCCAGCCTAGTCCACAAAGTGAGTTCCAGGACAGCCAGAACTATTACACAGAGAAACCCTGTCTCGAAAAACAAAAACAAACAAAAAAGTACAACAGGGATGGAGAAGAACAGAGTAAGGGCCCATACCATGCTTGAAGTGCCACATGGCTCTGGGGAGATTAGAACCAATGGATTTCAGTTTTGTTTCCCATTGTAGGAATAGGACAATGTAAAATCCACAGGGGAACAAGAAGTATGTTTGTAACCTGTTCTACCACAGTAAATACAGTACATATATGACTATCATAGTGTGGAGTTTCCCTGTCATATTGCCAGGCTGTCCTTAGTTGTAAGTGCTGGAACTAAAGTGGAGTAATCACAGGTATAGATGCAAACTCAAGGTCCAACTGCATTTCAGCTTAGTAGTAGCATCTTAATCCATAGTTGTGGGCTGGGGAGATGGCACAATATGTAAAGTGCCTGCTGTACTAGAATGAAGTTGTAAGTTCCTATCTCCAGCACCTATGTAAAAGCTGGGTGTTGTTACTCATGCCTGTAATTCCTAGCACTAGAGATGAAGACAGATGGATCACCAAAGCTTGCTGGTCAGTCAGTCTATCCAGTCAGTGATTTCCATAGTCATTGAGAGACCCTGAATCCAAACAAAGGTGGAAATCAATAACATTCAGTGTTGACCTCTGGCTTCTGTACATACATGTGCTACACACCCCCACCCTATCCCCGAGATCTGCTTTTCTTCAGTTGCTTGTGACACTGTCATCTTTAAAAGTTAGTTTTGTTTTAATTACATGTATGTATGTGTCTATGTATGCAGGTACCTACAGAGGCCTTGGGTCTCCCTAGAACTGAAGTTACAGGCAGTTGTGAGCTGTCTGATGTTAGTGCCAGGAATTAAACTCTAGTCATCTTCAAGAGCGATATGTTCTTAAATGCTGAGCCTTCTGTAGCTCCTATATAACCATTCTTACACTAGATTGCTGGGAGAGAAATTGCTGTACACAATTAACAGCCTTCAGTTTGCTGAAGCTCTTCAGACTGGAATTGGAGGTTGCTCTACCATTTGTTTCATGGGATAATCTTTATAAAGGATCCACTTGAAGATAGGTATTTCTTATCCTGGGCTGAGCCCAACTGGTTAGTGACAGAATAAAAAACCCAGGAGACTATGCTGGCCTTCTCAAATCACATTAGTGTGGCAGTTTCTCAGTAGGCAGCACCTACCATCTTGAGTTACCTGTGTACCTTTACATTTGTGTTGGAGGTATTTGATTTTTACTTTCTTTCCATTGTTTGGAAAGCCCATGGTGACCAAATACCAGAGTTACAGATTTGCTAAGGGTCCACTTTATGTTATGGTGTTTATTCATTTTACTCTTTCTTTAAATGTGTGTGTGTGTGTGTGTGTATATATATTGTAAATTAAGCTGTACAAAGTGAACGGAAGCCCTTTGATGTGCAACGGGAGAAACCAAGCAATTGCGCTGCTTCAACTGAGAAGATCTATATCCGGAAAGACCTGAGAAGTCCTCTGATAGCCACTCCCACATTTGTGGCAGACAAAGATGGAGCAAGGTAAGTCTCCTGTTCTCATGGAGCAGCACTGTGATTAGCCTCCAAACTGGCCAGAGGAAGTGCAGATATCCTTGGAAAGAGCACACATATGGTACAGCCCTCTCCCTTTTGAGTTCACTTAACATTGCTGAGGGTACTCCAGGGCACAGCTGATCCTGCAGTTTAGGCTTCATGCATACAGCAGAAATAGCTAGCGGTCTGTAACTCAGAAGTATAGACAAAAGGACAAAAGGCCCAAGGTAAAGAAAGACCCAGATAATGCCATAAAGTAGCTTGCACATTCTTTTAACACAGAGTGTTGAACTAGTTTTAAAGAGAACAGAAATAAGGAAAATCAGAAATCTAAAATGTCTTGCACAAAGCTGAAGTTGAGGGTCTCTGGACAATTCTTTGAATTTTAACTTTGGGGCGAATGGCCACAGAGTGTTAGAGCTTTTCTCTTAGCAGACAGCCTTGCAGATATGAAAGTCAGGTGAATGCAGCATAAGCATACTGTACAGAAAATGTTAGAAGCTACTCTGGGTTTCTTTGTGTCTTAAATAGACAAACAGGTCTTCTTGATCCAGGGATGCTTGTAAATATCCAGCAGCCTTTGATTCGTGAGGATGGTACGGTTCTCCTGGCCACGGATTCCAAGGTAATAGTCTCTCCTTCTGTGTGTTGCAGTTCGGGCTGCTTTTCCAACTACACCTGCCCTCCTGACCTGTAGCTGGATTTGTTCTCAAGATGCTGGTGGTTTTTAGACACCCTAGTCAGGGAGGACTGGCCATCCATAGTCTTTGTGGACATTCAATGGTTCTATTCCCTATTATTACCCCCCTTGTTATACCCTAACCCTAGCCCTAGCCCTAACTACCAGCATGCTTTTTCTAAGGCTGTTTTTTGCAGAAGCTCTAGTTCCTTTCTATTTGATAATCTACAGTAGGCTGACAAATGAACCAGAGAGAATGAACTTGTAGATAGAGATGTCTTTTGGTCCAAGAAGTTACCTCCCATTGTGGTGACCTGCACAATTTGTTGTGGTTCTACCATAATTTATTGAGCAGTTTTGTACTTAAAACTTTTCTAATGATTTTAATTTTTTGTTAAACACACAAACACACATACAAAGAAAAACAAAACTAAACCTGCATAGGCATATTTATGAGGGGGGCAGGTGCAGGTGCATGTACATATATTTAGTAGTTTATTTATTTTTGGCTTTCTCTTGATAAGTTGGGTATAATTCATAATCCAGCACCCTTGCAGTGTATAAATTTATGGTATTTTAGTATATTTTCATGATTTTGGACTCCACCACTACCAATTCCGGAATACCTTTACCTTTCTAAAAGGAACTCATCAAGCCAGGCCAACCACTAACCTACTTTTTGGCTCCATGGTTTTAACAATTATTTAACAATACAGCCCATATGAAAGGAATTATGTAAGTATGGCTCCTTCACAACTGGTTTCTTTCACTTAGCACATTATCTTTAAGGTTCATCCCTGGCATAACGTGTTCCTGTAGTTCCTTCCATTGCCAAAATACATGCCACTGGTTGGCTGCTTCATGCTGTGTATCTGCTCATCAGGTGATTGGTATTTGGATTGTCTGTTTGAAGGGTAGAATTGATGGCCTTGAGCAACTTTTAAACTTTGAGGAGCTGCCAGACTGTTTATGAACATGACTATACCAATTTGTAGTTCTGTCAACAATGAGTGCCAGTTCTGATCTCCACATCTAGGAAAACATGTTCCTTTCTTGGATTGTAGCATCCAACTTCACATTGTGAAGTATCACTGAGGTTTTGATTTGTATTTCAAGTGAGCTTGAACATACCTATTGGCCATCTGTACATCTTTGGAGAGGTGTCTTTTTTTTTTTTAAACGAGACAGGGTTTCTCTGTATTGTTTTGGAGGCTATCGGTCCAGCCCGGCCTCGAACTCACAGAGATCTGCCTGCCTCTGCCTCCCGAGTGCTGGGATTAAAGGCGTGCACCACAACCGCCCGGCTGGAGAAGTGTACTTTATCTGATTTTTTTGTCATTTTATCACTGCATTACCTGTGTGGATTTGTGTGTGTGACCACAACCAAGATACAGAAAAAAAAAAAAAAAAGATATGATCCAATGGATACACAGAAAGATCTCCTTGGTATGATTCTTTACTCACACCCTCTAGAAGCTGGCCTTGAATAAACATGATACCTTCTTCATTTTATTGCCCTTAAGTCATTTACATGTATGTGCTAGTTTTTTTTTAATGTTACTATTTATTTTTTTAATGTTACTATTGCTTATTTCTAATAGGCTGAAACAAGCCAAGGAGCTCTGGGTACACTGGCAAATGTAGTAACTTCTCTGGCTAACCTGAGTGAATCTTTGAACAATGGTGACACTTCAGAAATGCAGCCAGAGGACCAGTCTGCAAGTGAAATTACTCGGTATGAGCGCCTCTGATAGCCCATATTCCCTAGGCACTGTGTTATAAGGATGGATATCAGCATTTGGCACCTATGTTATAACTATGTCTTGTTTTTTGATGCTGGAAATTAACCTGCCTCTTGTATATAAGACAAATGCTGTGCCACTGAATTATATACTTCAAAAGTACCCCAGTTGTATCTAATTAAGAACTATAAAGTTGTCACAACCCACACATTGCTGGTCTTCTACATTTATCTGTGGGTCCCACACTGGAAGAGGACCTGCTTATATCATATAACATAAGACAGTCAGAACTGTAGTTCATTCCCTACACCAGGGCCTTCATCAGACAAATGTTCTTTGTCTTGAGCACTGTGCAATGCACCTGCACAGAACAGTGTACCTCTTTCCTCTTACTGTTTCTATTTGCTTGCACCGTTTTCTGAATGGTACATGGTAGCTGGTAGTACTAGCTGGTTCCAGGTGGCATTGGTGGACTGCTCAAGGTGTTTCTTCCTGTAGCATCTTAGGAGAATTTATATGTGAAGATGGAAAGTACATAGCTCAGTGCCTAAATACATGGTAAAGAAGAGCTCCACTGCCTTCTGAGTGGAGCTGGATTGATTGTCTCCGTTTGCTGTTTCTTTAAGTAGAATCAGCTGGAGCTCTCTTACTGACTTGCCATTGATATCTGCTTCATTTTGCTCACAGGGCATTTGACACCTTAGCTAAAGCACTTAATACCACAGATAGTGCTTCACCTCCAAGCCTGGCAGATGGGATAGATGCTAGTGGAGGAGGGAGCATCCATGTTATCAGCAGAGACCAGTCAACGCCCATCATTGAAGTTGAAGGCCCTCTCCTTTCAGACACACATGTCACATTTAAGGTTAGTACACATAAGTGTTGAAGCCAGGTACTGTATCAATGCTAATCTACAATTTCAAACGTCAGACATTGCAGCCAGCTCATTTTAGTTTTATTTATTTATTTTTGGTGGTTTTCTTTTTTTTTTCCCCAAGGCAGGGTTACTCTGTAACAACTCTGACTATCCTGGAACTCACTTTGTAGACCAGGCTGGCCTCAAATTCAGATGTTCACCTGCCTCTGCTTCCTGCGTGCTGGTATTAAAGGTGTGCACCACCACTGCCTGGCATGAGCTCATTTTTTTTAATTTTGAGAGAATCTTGATTTCCAAAGCATATTCCTGTTGCTTCTTTACATAACTGTCTCATAGTGCCATTGGTTCTGAAGCGACCCTCCAGTAAGTGTGGCATACCATTGCCCAGATAGACTGCCATAGTGCTAGCCACTGAGGACCAGAGGATGGTTATTATGTCTCTTCTTTGACGGCCTGGCCCCAACATAGGCTCAGATGGGCGGGCTCCTTGTTGTCTGTCTACTATGTAGAGAAGCCATCAAATAAACTCATTTGCAAATAGGCAGCCAGACTTGGTTCTTAAGTTATTGTCCACTAGAGCCATAGCCACCATCTTTGAAGAATACTAGTAAGTCTTCAGTCTTTCCCATGCTCCTTCTGTGTCTGCCCTCCTGATAGGGCATCCAGTCTGTAATCTCCAGAATGAGTCTCTTGTCTTCAGTGCTCTGTACTGGAGAGATCTAGTCAGTCACTTAAATAGATCGGGTCCCTGCCTATAGTTGCCCAAGGCTTGCTTCTCAGGCACTAGGGAGTCTTTGTGGACATTAGGGCATCTGGAGCCCTGGAAGGCTGTTCTTCCAAAACCCTTGTTGGTGAATTAAGACAAGTAACAACAGAACTGCAGATGAGAGCTGTGGAAGATGTCTTTGTATGAGTGAGCTGGAATGTGTTCTACAGGCTCTGAACCCCAATCCAGACTGCTGGAGTCAAGTCACTGAGCAAGAAGCCATGGAGTTGCTGAAAGCCTTGACTACATAGACACATATCCCACTAATGACAGATCTTTGGAAGTTATCTGAGATAGCTACTTTGGCTGTTACCTTTATTGATATATGAAAGGGCACTTGTCCCTCTTTTAACTTTTGTCACAGTGCCTCCTATTTTCCAGCTTACGATGCCCAGCCCTATGCCAGAGTACCTCAATGTGCATTACATCTGCGAGTCTGCGTCCCGCCTGCTTTTCCTCTCCATGCACTGGGCAAGGTCAATCCCAGCCTTCCAGGCACTTGGGTAAGTGGCCTTTCTTCCTGGGTGTCCTTGAGTAGTGGCATTCTCCAGGTATGGCCAACAAGGTCTCTAAGGGCCTTTCAAAGTGTAATTGTTCCAGTTTACCATATTCAGAGACCAAAGTTTTATTAAATGTAGTCAGTAGACTGGAGGAAACAGTACTACTTGTGTATGTCAAGGTCTTGTTGCTAGAAGCTGTGTTTGGCCTTTGATAGGAATATATATATCAGAGTGCTGGTTTCTGTGTTTAAACATCCCCTTGCTTCAGTGTTGGCCAG